GTAGGTGCTGAATAAATGAATTCATAAATTTGCCACTTTCACTGAAGTCCCAATATGAATAGCTGAAATGTGGCAATCTTCTCCATTATGGTTGGTTTTTGTTTGCCTGTTTGTTTAAAGACAGGGTCACACTCTGTTGCCTGGGCTAGAGTGCAATGGCATCATCATAGTTCACCGCAGCCTCCAACTCCTACAATCCTCCTGCCTCAGCCTCCCAAGTATCTGGGACTGCAGGTGCATACCACCATGTCAGCTCATTTTTCTTATTTTTTGTAGACACAAGGTCTAAGTTGCCCAGGCTGGTCTTGAACTCCTAGCTTCAAGCAATTCTACCACCTCAGGCTCACAAATTGCTAGGATTACAGGCATGATCGTGTCCGGCCTCCATTATATTTTAAAATGTGGTTTTCAAACATTTTTTGTAGACCTTTTTTAAAAAATCTTATTGGAACCCCAATTTGGAAAAGCAACATATCAGCTCTCAGGCGATTCAAACTCCCATGGTTTGAGAGAAAATACCTTACTTTGATCACTTCTTAGCCTTTTGGCTAAGATCAAATATAGAAAATACCTTACTTTTGAAATCCATAAATCTGGGATAGGGAGTAGCAGCAGCTGAGCTGTAACCAGGCATCTGAGTAACTTTCTTCCTTCTTTATGTCCATCTTGTATGTCTCTCCCTGTCTTCCCATAGGAGGATCTGCCTTCAATATCTGACACTTTCAGGCTGGGCACAGTGGGGCTTACACCTGTATATTCCTCACTACTTAGGAGGCTTAGGCAGGAGGATCACTTCAGCCCAGGAGTTCAAGGCTGCAGTGAGCTATGATCGTGCCACTGCACTCCAGTCTGAGAGTAAGACCCTGTCTCTAAAAAAAATAAAATAAAAAAATTTGACACCCATAATATGCCAAAATAAAAAAAATAATTAAAAAAAAAAAAAAAATTTGACAGTTTCTTAATTGTGGGACTTAGGAACAAAGACTACTGGCCACTACATGAACTACAGAATTCTAGCTGCTAATTATAATGGTATTTTGCTGGAGGCCTTACTAACTTCTGAACAAGCAGGAACATGAACTGAATCAAATGTGGCAATAAGGTAAGGATAACCTACTTGTCCAGCACTGTGTGGCTATGAACTAATTAAAACAAGCTACGGTATTACTGTGTTCTAGATTACTCAATAGAACTTCTTTTCTATATTGAGACCTTCCCCTGACTCTCAAATATAGAATAGTATTCTTCCTCCCGTTCCCACATGCAGGCTGGGTGAAAAATAGCCTGGCACAGTAAAAAGGGCATTCATGGGCTTTGGTGTCAGTCATATCAGTCTGAATCACAGACCACCATTTACTAGAAGGATAACCTTGGAAACATCACTTAACTTCCCTGCACTTCAGTTTCTTCATCTGTAAAATAGGGACAATACCTACCTTAGTAGAGTACTTGCAAGAATTAAATAAAATCATGCATGTATGGCCCTCAGAACAGTAGGAATTCAACAGATACTACTATTAATATTATGCAGATTTAGCTTTGGTAGAGAGGCAGAAAAGACAGAAAACATTATTGACTTCAGCCTACAAAACCAATACACACAAAGGAAAATTATAATACCTAAAAGAGCAACAAGAATATTGGTTTTTAACATACGTATCATATATCTATGACAAAATAGCTGAAGACACAGGTCATTTTCTGGATGACACAGGTCCTTACCAAATTTAGCTCCTGCAAAGAACCCACTGCCTGACTTCTTAACCAAACTGTCTGCCCCAAAACAGTAACTAGACTCCCCGGAAGTCTCAGCAGCCCTTAGAGAAATTACACACTAAAGTCTTTCCATATAAATAAAGAGAACATTGTGTATTCATAACAGACTGCAAAATTGTTCTGTTTAAGTCAGAACTATTTGGATACCTGAATTCTAACTCACTTATCTTGAATTATCTAAAGGGCAAGCAATTTCAATCTAAAAGGTAGGCTTTTAATGGAAGCCAAAGAACCCCCTGGAAACGTAAACAAGATGTTCTGTGTATGCACAGTTTTATGTGGAAAGGATCTATATAGCGTTCATTAAAATGTCAAAATTCAGAATAGAATCTAAGTGATTCCTAACAGAGCCCCTCTGAACCTCGCACTGGGAACTTGGGGTGAGCATATCTCAAGGCAAATATTTTAAAGTGCCAATTTCATAAGCTATAAGCTTGTTGCTGGATTATGTTATGAAAACTCTTAAGCGTATTTCTCCATTCCTTTAGCATTTTTCATAACAAGGTTTTTTCTTCTTCCAGCCTCCACCATCCCAGCCTGTCCTTCAGCAGGCCCCATCCTCTTCTTTACAGCAAAAGCTTCTACTTGAAATGGCTTTATGGGCCCTGCCATGCAATACTGATACCTGCTTAAGCAGGTTCCAATTTACATTCAAATCTATTATTGCTAATATTTCCCCTCATTTCTGATTTGTCACTTGAACAGTAAGTACAATTGAAGGACACCATGCCACGCAAATCTTTCTAGTATTTACAAATTTAAAATGCTGTCTAGACTTATAACTCAATGCAAACACAACTGTATCCACATGTATATTCTGAGGAACTGGAGATCTATTCAATTTACGGAAAGAGCAACTCCAGCTCTGCACTGCACTCCTACCTCTCCATGCTTCAATGTTATCTACTTACCCAACAACGACCACTTGCATCAACTGCAAATTCCCATACTCCCTCAGGGTAGAAAAGCAAACTGCTATTTCAATCCATTTTTAACCAATTCCCCATTACCAGTTGATAACATTGCACCATTGGTGTATTCTGATGAAATTGGTAACCTATACTTCATTTACTATTTATATAATAAGCTTTTATATTTTAGCAACTGTAACCTTTCAGCAAAGAGAAGATAATAAGAGCTGTGAAATACATCAAGAGGAAAATTAATTTTAGCTTCAATGGCATGAGGCAAGAAACTTAAAGCCACAAAAAACTAAGTACCCTGTATTACTACAATAGGTTTAAAAATGATCTCCATCAGAAATCACATCTTAAATTTATCCCTTTTAACAATTGCTCCTTTTATTCAAAAGAAAATGAAGTTGCAGCATTACTACTTTTATGTTGCAACCAATTCAGAGTTTTTATAAGTCCTCCCTCTGTGAAATACCCTGAGAAAAGGCTTAACACTTAAGTCACTGCTCTTTGTGTCCAAATAAGCCACCAAATTCACTAAGCATTGTCATACTCAGCACTGCAGTCATTATTACTTTGTACATCAAGAACACGAAAGCTTCCTTTCGTTTCTGTTTAATTGCCAAAACAGCTAAAAGATGCAGGTAATAAATAATTTACTTGGTGGCACAATACAGAAACTTAAAGTCCTAACCAAGTATGGGCGATCAACGAAAAAAAATTGAAATTACACAAGAATTTAAACTCACAAAGTAATAAGCAAAGACATGTTTGAGAGATCCAGCACTGCACTCTGCCCTGAAGAAGGCACACCAGCCCACCTTTTCCCCTAAAGCAACTAACTACAGACACATACCAAAACTAACCAGGTTTTCCATGACCAACACTAAGTTATCACCAAACATTCTCATCAGTGAACAATTCTTAATTGAACAGAATCAGGCAGGATAAAAACATTATGAAATCAGTACACACATCACACTGGAATGGAATCTATCTTTACTCTGCGCCACACTGCCTGGAATGAAAAGTGTGGACTAACAATACTTAGAGCAGAGAAAATGACACTTGACAGAAACCAAACAATGACCTGAAATGACTCTAGAAGGGAGATGCCTTTCCCTTCTCAAAGTAATGTATACAGACAAGAATCAAACTACGAACTGTGAAATAACCTGGGGACCACACAGCAGTTAGTTTCTAATTTGCTCAAACACCCTACAATCTCTAAAAGTCCAACACACCGTGACACAAATACAAAAACACAACACATCTAACATCCAATGATTATTGATTTACAGAAATAAAAACGGATGGGGGGGTGCATGATGTAATGTTATTCTCAGGCAGGTAATATCCTTCTAAATCTCCGTGGAATTCATGAATTCAACGTTTTACTGACTACCTTTGACTAAAATATCTCGTCACCAAGTCTTTTCAATCAAAGCTGTCCAAAATTCTACAACCGAGCAAATAACATGAAATTAGAAATATGCAATACTAGACTTTCCTCCAGGAGCCCTGGTACTTCCTAGACACCAGGCCTATAAAGAATAAATTAAAGGCTTTTAAAAATATTAAGCATAACACAAGCCTTCCAAGAAGTGAGACTTGGGAGTGAGGGATAATGTCAGTTAACTTCCTCTTCCTTTAAAAAGGTCAAAGACAGGGATATAACATTTCCTCCTTAGATCGCGTTCTACCCACAAACCACATCACAGTTTCCCTAATCGCCAAAAAAACATTAGCCAGAGGGAGTGTTTTCTCACCGTAGACTGAAAATCCAACTTACCTCGGAAACGAGCTGGTTAGTTTCAAACAGGAAATTTACCAATAAAGTTTATTGTGTATTAATAATTAGGGAAGCCACCAAGCCCTGCTGCAGGGGGGAGTCGAGGGGAAATAAGGAGTAGGAGGGTGTAATCCTCACAACAGAGAAAATCCTACCCTGCAGGGTTGGTTCCAGGCACCAGCAAATTCTGCCTAATAAAGGGGGGGGGCAGTTTAGGGGAGGAGAAGGCGATAAGGGTCCCCCAGCTCTAAAAGGGAAGGGCTGCAGAAGCCTGGCTGAGCAGAGCTACTGTTCACAGTACTGCAGAGTGCCCCAGGGTCCCCCGCAGTGCTGCTTCCGTGGCACCCCAAAAGCTCTGGCCAAGCCTGGTGCGGGGGCTTGAACAGTAACCCCGTTCCTAGCTGGGAGGTGGCAACCGGCAGGAGGGTCCCTGGAGGGTCCCCCTGGGCTAGGTGGTCCCCCCGGGCTGCGGCTACGAGAGCCGAAGGGCCGGCAGGAAGGTGAAAAGGATACTGTTGGGGCGCCTGGGTCTGGAGGGCCCTGATGTTCGGGTGAGGAGGGGCCGCTGCCGCCGCCGCCGCCGCTGCCGCCGCCGGGTGAGGAGGCGGTACCGCTGCTGCCGCCGCCGCCGCCGCTCCGGTGCCGGGTCCGGTTCCTGCTGCAGCCGCTGAGCCTGATTTCAGAGCCGGTTTCTGCGGTAAACTCATGGCAAAGCGAAGCCACCAACCCCCCCAGAGCGGGACCGGGCGCGTCGGGGTGCAGGGGCCGGGGGCAGCGGGGGGGCGGGATGGGGGCAGACCCGGGGAGGCGGCGGGAGCGGGGGGCCGGGGGGAGGCTGGGAGGAGGAGGAGGAGGGGGCCGGGGCCGGTCACACACGCCCGCCGCCGCCGCCGCCGCCGCCGCCGCCGCCGCCGCCGCCGGCAGCAGCAGCCGCCCCGCGGGCCAGCACCACCGGCTGCCGGTCTCCGTGACAACGCGACCCCAGGGGGGGGGCCGGACCCGGCGGGGGCAGGAGGCGGAGAGACCGGACCTTTCACGGCAATATCCTCATGGGCCGGCGGCGGGGGGTCTTTATCCCCCTCCCCGGGGGAAGCGGCGCCCTTCTCGGTAGCGGGGCTCAGGCGATGCGGGCGGATTTTCTTCACTCAACGAGCAGAGCATCCAACATGGCGCTGCGGCCGCCTCCAGCAGTCCGGCAGGACGGCCGCTCGGGAAACTTCGGACCTTTTCGGAACGGCTCGGGAGGCCGAGGGTGGGAAGCCCCTTCGGCTCTTTCCGGAGACTGCGAGCGGTCGGGATTCTTCGGAGATGCTCGGGTGCGTCTTCGGCCGCTGTTCGGGAGCGTGCGGGGGTAACTCGCTTTCTCGGGAAAGATCGGCAAAGGGGCTTCTCCGGCTCGCAGAGGTGGGGGTGCGGGGCGGAGGGAGAGACCAGAGGCAAGGTCTGGCCTACGAGAGCCCTCCCCTGCGGCCCAGCCTCGAAGAACAATGGTAACGGCTCCGGAACCAGCGGTCCTCCGAGCCCTGCCCCCAGGGGCGGAGAGGCAGCGGCGACGAGGCGAGAAACCTCGGTAGTGGCAGGAACCGCTTAACCAGAGTGAAAGCCGGAGGATAGGAACGCGCCGAGGGGCCTTATTAGCATGACAGAGACCGCTCGCTGGTCGGTCACCGCGCATTTCGCTTCCATTATGTCGACACGTCGTCCTCAGACGCTCTGAGAGGGAAATGGAATGAGGAGCCCCATTTCCAGGGGACACAGAGAAAAAGTGACTGGCCCAAGGTCATCCTGCCAGGAAAGGACAGAGCCAAGTCTGGATCTAAATTCCACCTTCGTCTGGACGAACCTAGCCGCCCCTCAGGTTGGCTGGGGACGTGATGTGACCCTCCTTATCCCATCCGCGGCCTTAACTGAGGGCGCTGTGGATGGGGTCCTCCCAAGGCCTACCCAGGACTGGAGCGGCCCTTGGCCCGCAGCGGGTGGTCAGCTCCCCAGTGTCCTATGCTGGGGTGACATTTGTTGATAAGGTTCTTTTCCTCCCAGCAGGACGTACCAAGATCGTTCCCACCCCTATTAGCACAGTGGCGTAGAGTGGAAAGGAATCCATCGTGGAGCCATCCCCGTAGCAGTGGTTACCAGGCACAGTGCTGAGCACTTCACATTCACTATCTCATGCAGTCCTGTGAAATAGGTAGTCCCCCTTCTACAAATGAATAAACTGATGCCAGAGAGGCTCAACACCATCACATAACAGAGAAGCTGAGGAAATTGAGGTTCAAAGCAGACAGGAGTCTTTCCCAAGATCACAAGTTCAGTGTAGTTGGCAGAGCCAAGTTAAAACTCCAATTCTGCCTAGCACTCTGGGAGGCTGAGGCAGGAGGATCGCTCAAGGTCAGGAGTTGGAAACCAGCCTGAGTAAGAGTGAGACTCCTTCTCTACTACAAATAGAAAATGTAATTGGCCAACTAAAAATATATAGAAAAAATTAGCTGGGCATGGTGGCGCGTGCCTGTAGTCCCACCTACTTGGTAGGCTGAGGCAGGAGGATTGCTCCAGCCCGGGAGTTTGAGGTTGCTCTGAGCTAGGGTGACGCCACAGCACTCTAGCCCGGGCAACAGAGTGAGACTCTGTCTCAAAAAAAAAAAAAGAAAGAAAGAAAAAGTCCAATTCTGACTCCTACCCTGCTTCACACTGCCTTCCTTTTTTTCTTTTACATTCACATAAAGCTCTACACATAGGGGATGCTTAATTCTTGACAGTCCCTGGGAGCCCCAAATGCTCCTGCTGGGATAAAAGAGCATCTGGAAGAAAGTGATACCACAACTCCCCCATGGCATCTTTCTGGCTAGGGTTCCACAGTTCCTGGCATTGAAAAGAAAGCCTCATTCCCCATCTCCAGACTGGAAGACAACAGCTACTTTGGAATCCTAAACCATTTGGATTTGTAACACCTGATTATTTAGGATTGGATTGTCTACTCCTCTCCAAGCATGACTGGCTCCAGGAAGAATTCCCAAGTGGTCCTTCAGTTCCCCAGATTCTGGCTCTCACGTTCTGAGATCTCAGGCTTCCTTATCCCAATCAAAACCTGTTCCCAGGAAAGGATTCTGACTTCTCATTTACGATAGGGTGATAACAGACTGATAATTGCTTAATTGTTATTCTTTTCTGAGCTAGTTTCATTTTCTAACTTAATAATAGCTACAAGCATCAGGCAAGTACTGTGTGCCCTATCTTTGCTAAGCACTTTATGAACCTTATCTCTTTTAAAAAGGGTAGACCTTGGGCAAAATAATGTAAAAGTCCCAGATAAGATCTGGCTGCAGGCAATCAATGGGGTAAGCTTGTAGGGAGCAAAATCAAAATGGTAAAGCTCTCTCCTTTCATCCAAAAGCATGGATGGATAGCCCTGCTCAGCACCTCCCCACTGGCCAAGAGCAGCTAATTATTTCTTGAGGCACCTACTATGTGCCACAGCACTACTCTGCTAAATAACTTGCTTAGATTAACTCATTTTCCCCAACAAGTCTCTAAGGAGCTATTATCATAGCTCATTTACAAATTTAAAAAACTGAGATTCAAATATGTAAAGAAGTAACTTGAGCAACTTTTAAGTGGACCTGACAGAATTCAAATGCAAGGCATTGAGTCTAGATCTAATTTGCCACATTGCCTTCAACCTAGCAACCTACCCACTATGGCCAGAGGTGCTGTTAACAAGAAAAGCTGATTTTGTTAACTTGCCTGTTAGAGCCCACCTTGGCTCCCCCATTGCCTTCAGGATCCATTGGAAATCTGAGATCCTTCAGTGACTGGGCTCTGCCTCCAATCTGCCACACTCCACCTCAATCCCAGAGCTGCAGCCACCTTGATCTACTGGTCTACTGGAAACAAAACCATTCTTCTCACCCTGGAGCCTGTGTCCAGGCTACTCCCAAATCATCCTTTCTCCCCTTAGCCGGTTGGCTGATTCTTTCTTCAAGGTTTGGCTCAAGCATCACCTCCTCCTGGCAGCCTTTCTTTACTCCCCAAGCTGAATGAAGCACCCCTTCTTTAGGCCCCCTGAGCAGGCATCCTTAACTCTCAGGGCACTGTCAGTGTTGAGCAATTAAGACTACAGCCATGGGAATCGAATGACCTGAGTTTGATTCTCAGCCCTGCCATCTTTTATTAGCTGTATGTCCTTGGAGAGAGCACTTAACTTCTCCAAGCCTTGGTCTTCTCATCTGTAAAATAAAGAGATTCCACCTCCTAGAGTTATCATAAGAAAGAAAACAAATCCAAAGCACTTTGCCCAATCCCTGGCTCATAGTAATTCTTGTATGTATTTTAGCTATTTTTATGCATTTATGTAGGGACTATACTTAGTCATTCAAAATATCTCTGCTATCTAGGACTCAAAAATTGGATGTGAAATTTGCTGAATGAATGAATAATCATGAATTGCCAGAAGATTTGGTGTTAACCTGGAGAAGTCCTGGGTGACACAGAGCCCAGGCTGGGCCTCACTGCAAAGGGAGAGAGAAAGGCCAGAGCATCCTGGCATTGCTGGCCCAGGAGAGGAGTATTGTGTCTTTGAACAGCCATTCACTGTTCCCAGAGCCCAAACGCAGGCTCCAGCAAAGATCTACCTCCCCAAAAAGCCACAACAAGCAAGATAAAGATTCGGCTTATATTATACATCTCCTCAAGGCTGGGTGATTGTGCATTGCTTATTTGTTAGCATGTGGGGTCACTGCTGTGTTTCTCTTGAGTGAGCTAGGGATTGGGTTCTGGGGGACACCTTAATTTCTTAATTGAAGTCCATGAGACTTGGTTTGCAGCATCCCCAATGACATAGTCTTTATGAACCAAGTGACCTGGCAATCTCAATTTTCAACTCCCTAAGGTTAAAGGTCACCCCCCCAAAAAAAACCCTTTCAAAAATATTGTGGCAAGCTCCAGTTCTCTGATGCCTTCATTTTTCCTTCCAGATGGAATGAACTTTAAGCATAAAAACAAGCCATGTTATGCCAAGAGAAGCCATTTGTGTTAGCCACAGAGCAGGTTAGGTGCTCCACTCTGAGACATGTAAACATTCACCAACACCTGCTGAGGGTAGAGTTAGGTATGGACCTTGGTGGCCCAAGATCTAGACCCTGGGCAATGAAGACAGGATGGAATACCAAAGGAATTAGGAAAAAAAAGTTGGAGGGAAGGAAGAGAGACTACAGGGCTCCCCCTAAAGCAGAAGCGGTTGGAAGGAGAGAAACCCCAATGGGAAAAGTAATGTTTTGTTCCATTCACTGTACGGCTATACTGCAAGCATGTTCATGATGGGCCCATAAATGCTCATTCCAGTAAAGAGCTGAGCCCTTCCAAATATCTCAGGGCCTAGTGACAGGGAGGTGGGTGAGGGTAGTGGTTCCTTTCAAGACTTTAAGACAGATCTGGATTCTACCCTTATAGACTAGCTGTATGACCTTAAGCAAGTTTCCTAATTTCTCTGGGCCATTTTTGAAATGAAGACAAGAGGTCTACCTCTAACAGATTGAAGCAAGAATTAAAGGAACTTCTCTGTGGAGACTCTCAACAGGGCCTAGGGCATGGTAGGCACCTCAGCAACCACTCCTTCCTTCTCTATCCCCTGCAGGACAAAGTTGCAGCTTCTCTGATTTATTTATTTATTTATTTATTGAGACACAGTCTCACTCTATTGCCTTGGCTAGCATGCCGTGGTGTCAGCCTAGCTCACAGCAACCTGCAACTCCTGGGCTCAAGTGATCCTTCTATCTCAGCCTCCCGAGTAGCTGGGACTACAGGCATGCACCACCATGCCCGACTAATTTTTTTTTCTGTTATTGTTAGTTGGCCAATTAATTTGTTTCTATTTTTAGTAGAGACGGGGTCTCACTCTTGCTCAGGCTGGTTTCAAACTCCTAACCTCAAGCGATCTGCCCGCCTCGGCCTCTCAGAGAGCTTCTCTGATTTAATGTCACTCTCACTTCTGGGGCCAAGCTGTCCTATCCCTTTGCCCACGGTATATGTAATGGTTTCCAGGTCTCAGCTCTGCCTGGAGGTGACCACAGCCCTTGTCAGCCACTGTGGCCACAGATAGTTCGGTTCACCAAGATGCAAGAGGTAATAAAAGGTATTAGCATAGAATGGAAAAGATGGTAAATTTTGTTATGTGTATTTCACCACTGATTGTAAAAAGCGTCATAGAGTCTAGTTTGGCCTGAAAAACACCATTAGGGATTACCTTTTGCAGGTTCTTGGTTTTAGGGACAGAGTACGGAGATTAGAAAGGATTTTTTCAGAGTCATGCAGGAAGTGAGCAGCAGAGCCAAGACTGAGAGACCTGTCCTCACTTCCAGACTGAGGTGTCTCTCACAAGCTGATCATATCCTCCCATTAAGAAGTAGGATGCAGCCAGGCGCGGTGGCTCACGCCTGTAATCCTAGCACTCTGGGAGGCCGAGGCGGGCGGATCGCTCAAGATCAGGAGTTCAAAACCAGCCTGAGCAAGAGCAAGACCCTGTCTCTACTATAAACAGAAAGAAATTAATTGGCCAACTAATATATAAAGGAAAAAATTAGCCGGGCATGGTGGCGCATGCCTGTAGTCCCAACTACTCGGGAGGCTGAGGCAGCAGGATTGCTTGAGCCCAGGAGTTTGAGGTTGCTGTGAGCTAGGCTGATGCCATGGCACTCACTCTAGCCTGGGCAACAAAGTGAGACTCTGTCTCAAAAAAAAAAAGAAGTAGGATGCCTGTTCCCCCGGGCTTTTCCCACTTCAAGTATTAGCCATTCCTCCCCTCCATGCGTCTGGGGTCACAGCCAATCATCAGAATTTATCTAGCAAGCACTTACTGAGTGACACCTATTTGCCAGGCACTGTGCTGGGCTCCTAGAGAGGCATATGAGGCCACATCTGGTGGGGAAGGGAAATATATAACCAGATAACTACCCTATGACCTGCAAATTAAGTAACATCCCTATAATTACTTACATTAAAAAGTCAATGTAGGCCGGGCGCGGTGGCTCACGCCTGTAAGCCTAGCACTCTGGGAGGC